ATCGTTCAGCATAACAGTGGTTGTTATTTTATAAAATGTATTTATTTTTTAAATATAATTTTCGAATAAATTTAAAAGTATTAAAGTATTTATCTTTAAAATAAATGTTAATTTTGCAAATATTTACTAGTTTTAATTTATTGGTTTGTAGTAAAATTTTACAAAAGTATTTAAAAAGATATTTGCACTTAATTGAACAAGAACAAATATATTCAATTTAATGCACATTGATTAACATTTTTAATTTTATTAAAAACTCATACTTAACGATAAAAACAAAATACAAAAACAACCGAAACAAACAAATGAATCATACTTAATTGAACAAGAACAAATATATTCAATTTAATGCACATTGATTAACATTTTTAATTTTATTAAAAACTCATACTTAACGATAAAAACAAAATACAAAAACAACCGAAACAAACAAATGAATCATAAATATGAGCGAACATGACTCGAGGACAACAAACTAACCCTAATATCTAATACGTTCGCAACGGTGGCCGTTATCGGGGTCTTCATAAAAGCCGTCATCGCAAACACATATCCCATTAGCGCAATGTCTTTGATAGTCTTGAATTTGGAAGCAGTCGTTAGTGGTCTCACACTTATAGGCCACGCATTGTTTGGTCTCCGAGTTATACCTGTAATTGTGGGCACAATAGCACTGCCGCTGAACGCATACATTGTTGGCGTCAGTGCACTCGCTGTCGATCTTACAGTACGCCCCGTACGGACTGGCCATCGATTGGGACGCCATATATACCGATCCAATTGTCACCAACAGTGCAATCGTTATCATATTGAAAGACATTGTAATTATTATGCGTTAAATCTATGTTAAAGTGTTTGTTAGCAAAATACAATTAATTATTTTAGCAATAGTTTTAACACCAAATTTATACTACTTTTTTGAATAAAACTACTTTCTTTATTAATTATCGTGATAAGATATCAATTATCTTACGTATAAATTAGAGTGTTCCTAGGAGATTACAAAGAGCTTGAGCATTTTTGGGAGTCTAATGCAACATGATTGTTTCATAAAATAATTATAATCAATCTGCTAGTGACGACTGGTAAACTCAGCAGGGAATCTGGTTTCACAACTACTATAATCTTATCGTAAAGTTTAAACATTTGGTCAATTCCTAAGGACTTGTGTTATACAATGCACTTTATATTGATATAATAACAATAGTTTGTAAATTAATTGATTAAAAATATTTTCGATAAATATTTTGAACTTGTTCAATTGACAAATAACGTAATAATATGTGGGAAATAATACAATAAAATTATATAATTATTAATACTTTATTATCCATAAAAATTACATGTACTTTAGATAAAAGCTAAAACTTTTTTTAATAAGTACTGACCGAAACTTTTGCTACCAATTGTACTCATATTTAATTTTTAACTACAATTACATACAAATGTGATAATATTAAGATAAAGTACAAATTGTTGAGATTATTGTTTCACTGTACCGTACAGTATGTGTATAAATGCATATCTTGTTCAAAGTAAGTTACTTGTGCAATATTGATTTAAATTTTATTTGGGAATAGGGTTTAAGAAACATTCATTTGTTTTTTAACCAATAATTTAATGTAATTGTTGGACAAACAACTACAACAGTTGGTGCAACTCATGTACCTAAATGTCTGTCTCATCACTAAACAGGCCCTCCAGGAGTGCGTCAATACCTGTTCCCGACTTCAAGTAAAGTAAACCCTAATTAAAGTCAATTAAAAGTTAGTAAAAAGTTTTTGCGTTTAAAATACACAACAAAATATGTTTAAAATTTTAATAACACAATAAAATATTGAATTATATATTCACAAGAGAGGTTTTTAATTTTACAACAAAAATTATTTAAATCATCATTTATTTTATATACATTAATTACCAAAATTAAGATGATGGTAATATTTATAACTTATTACACTTGTTTTATAGTATAGTTACAATTTTGTAATATAAGTGAATAATTATAATCAGTAATAATAATTACGGTAGTTATTTTTTAATTATATGCAAAATTACATCATTTTAGTATTTTAATGCAGCTTTTATTCAGATATGTTTACAATATTGTCATTTCAACCGTTGCCGAGGAATCGCAAAAGAAAGTGAACCGTTAATTACTGAACTCTTTTAAAATGCAAATCATTTATTATTTCAATATTTAGACATTTAATCAATATTTTTCCATAAATAATAACAATAAGATAAACAATATTTGATGAGTCTCACGGATTATAACTACTGTAGACTTCATATGAAGCATAAAATAACTTGTAATAATATTTTTAATAAAACTAACAATTAAAACAAAAATATTTTTAGTTAATAAACAGTTTAATCATTACTAATGATTCATTACGGATACATCGTCCAAGATTTGCAAAATATATTAAAAATACTTATTTAAAAATGGTATTTAAAAACAACATTTAAATTCGCATTATCATCCATATATTACATGGTAATTATTTTGTAGGACAGTACTCAAAATATACTTATTAAATTTTCTGGAAATATGAAAACAGCATAAAATTAATGGCATGTGTACTCAAAAAACAATAAAAAATAATTACATATTGGTTAAATAGGATTTACTATTTTTGTATTTAAAGCCAATATTAGTTATTATTCCGCCACTTATTGACTTTATACTCTGAAGTTAATAATAGGCTGTTTAAATCACAACATAATCGTTTTAAGTAATTTTTATCTATCTGTTTAAACTTTAAAGAGTTATATAAATTTAAATTAGTTTCGCGACTATAAATAAAAACAACATTTAGTTTCTCTAATTAAATAAAGTTTTCACTATTAATACAAACAATGAAACGATTTCTACTGTTAGCGAACCCGAGAACTGGATCCGAATATTTGTCCACTTTATTGAGAAGTCATCCCGAGATAGGACTCGACGGCGAACTACTCAATGATGAACACAATCTTCCCGACGATGTCCTCCAATACTGTGGCCAACAATTGTCTAAATTTGAGCAGAAATTTGTTGGCTTTAAGGTATTTCCCGAACAGATCTTCAAACGTAAGTTACGTTTCGATGAATTGGTCCGACATTTGGGCGCAGATGTGGTGATAGTGTTGTGGAGGAAATCCATTGCCGAACAGTTGTCTTCACTCAGAATTGCAGAAAAGACTGGCGTCTGGTTTGAAGGCGTGGAAGACTTCAACAATAATCATAAGAATGGCCTAAAAGTGAAGACAAGTATTTCAGACCAAGAAATGAGAGAATATCACGAGTTTTTGGTGAAAGATTGGCAAACAATTGGCAGTCAATGGCCTATAGATATAATCCCGATATATGTCTGTTACGAAGATTTGATTGCGGATCCGTTGACACAATTGCGGCAAATCATGGCTCGTTTGAGTTGTGATATGGAAACCTATGTCTTCACGAGTCCCGGAGCCGTCAAACCAGCGGTTCCGCCATCGGATAAGATTGAAAATTGGGCGCAAATAAGCGATGAATTAAAAGGTCTAAAAATTAATGTAAATAATATAGTAATGGATTGCATCGAGAAAAACCTGAACGTGAAATGTCAAGCCCTGGACTTTGTTCCCGATCCCGAGCCCCCGATGCCATCAAAGGGCTGGCGATATAACGTTTGCGCGCCTTTTATGCCTAATGAGGCCAAAGACAATGTAATCCAAGCGCTGGTCTCGGGTTCGGTGTCTTCGGCCGGTTTTTGGCCCAAAGAAATGGCCGATAAGTTGCGTAAAGTATTTGACTGTCCGGTGGCTCAGCCGTGCAGTAATGGCTTCACATCTTTGGTGATAACAATGCAATCACTGGGTTTGAGAAGTGATGATGAGGTTATTATGCCTTCACTAACAATGATAGCGGTTCCCAATGCGGTCGCATTCTTAGGAGCCGTACCTGTATTTGCCGACTGCGCTGACGGGCAGTACAATCCCGGACTCAACGAGATATTGGATGTCTCTTCAGGTTTGTCTCAATTATGTTTTACTATATTCTTACAAATTATATCACAAACTAATTTATGCAATAAAGATTAGACTAAACATGAACTTTATAACTTTATACTGTTTGTTGAAATAGAGAAACTGTATTATTATTGTTATATTTATTTTTAATGTACTTAATTGATAAAAAAAACTGTAAAATTGACGGAAAGTGTGTCACACAAGCCGTGATTATAGCGTTAATATATTATAAATTGCTGTGTAAACGTATCCCCAGAGCGGACGCGTGCGGTTGTGTTGACGCATACCTATGGAGTGCCGACCGAACACTTGGAGAGCATTGCAAACGAATGCAAAGCCAGGAAATGGACTCTAATTGAAGACATCAGTGAATGCGTTGGCGTAAGAGTGCGGACAGAGAGCGGCGAAAGCCGACTGTTGGGCACTTTCGGTGACTTCGGCTGCGCTTCACTCTATGCTAATAAGATAATACACGGCGGAGACGGCGGCTTCGTTGTGGCCAAGGATGCAGTACTCATGACACGACTTAAGGCACTCGTAAACCACGGATTTACACCCAATTACCACTTCTTACACTTCGAGAGCACAATGAATGCCAAAATCAATGGTTTGGGAGCGGCTCTGGTGTGCGGTTGTCTCGATCGCATGGATCAGGTGTTAGCTCACAGACAACTACTCTCTCAATGGTATCGTCAATATCTTCAAGACTTGCCGTTAGAGTTGATGCCAGAGTGCGGTCCGTCTGACACGCCGTGGGTTTTCGGTATTGTCTGCGAAACCAAACAAATTCGGCACAAATTGAGGGCATATTTGGCCGAAAATGGTGTCGAAACGCGTGATTACTTCTATCCGCTTCACTTTCAACCGGCTTTCCGTCGAATCACAAGTGATCGCAGGTATGGGAGGGCCGAGAGGTTGGGTTCGACCGGCTTTTATTTGCCCACATATTATGATTTGACACAAATCGACATCAAATACATCTGTGATGTC